AGGCACGGCCCAAAAACGCGCGCGCGCGTCCCAGTGGATCCGCGCCGAAGCACAACCGAATGGAATCGCGCGCGTGCGTCCCACTGGATACGCGCCGAATAACGACCCATAGGCATCGCGCGCGCGTGCCCCGTGAGATGCGCGCCGAAGAACGACCCAGAGGATTCGCGCGCGCGCGTCCTCGTTGATGCGCGCCGAAGCACGACCCAAATGAATCGCGCGTGCACGCCCCAGCGGACACGCGCCGAAGCACGACCAAAAGTATCGCGCGTGCGCGCCGCTGTGGATGAGCGCCGAAGAACGACCCAAAGGAGTCGCACGTGCGCGTCCCAATGGATACCAGCCGAAGCACGGCCCAGGGGAATCGCGCGCGTGCGTCCCAGAGGAATGGCGGCCAATTTGCCGCCGCGCCACCGCCGCGTAGGTCGCTCCACACACGCGCGCAACCACGCGCACACGCAAATATAGACACACACACACAAACACATATATATATATGACTGGAAACGTAGATAGAGAGAAAGACAGATAAATCGATGGATAATGCCCGCTCCAATGCAAAATGAGAAAAATAGCTATGGCACCTCCGCCCCCCCGGTTTCGCGGCCCCCCTGGGATCGCACAGTTGACTACGGTTTTGCCCCGTCGCTCATTTGGAATCTGAACTCACCCCGTCCGTTCGCCCCCACAACAGAAACAAAAAGCGCGCGCACTCGCTTATCAACCATGAATGTTTCCCAGCCCCCCCTTAACAGCGACGTGGATTACATCCACGTGCGCGCGGCGTCGCGCGCGCATGCTGAAACCGCCCCGGCAACCATATGATTCGTAAGGTTTTCAGAATCGAGGTTCCAGAAAAGAATGATTAAACAAAACCAGCGGTTTTGCGACACGGTGGTTCGAACAAGGTCTGTGCGTTTTGTTGCGAACTCTCACGGGGAACGCTTGTGTTCCAAATTGCTCATCGCATGCAAGCGCATGCAACCAAACTGGGCTCCCGCGCGCGCCAGCATCATCCGAAAGCCTTTGCAGGCTTGCAAGGGGGGCACGACCCCCGTCAAAAATTACTGCGTTGGCCACTCGCGCCCGTCGGCAACATGTCGACATCTTTTCAACACCGACAACGCCGACGCGTGGACACCATCATCGCCACCGGCGTAACCAGCATCAGCGCCGTCATTGGCGTTGCCATCGTCACCGTCATTATCGTCACCATGATCGCTACCATTATCGTCGCGTGCGCGTGTCGACGTCGCCATGGCGCTGCGCCCGCGCCCCAGCGCGGCCAGCGAGAAGCGCTGGGAAGTGCCCAGCGGTCAGCGCCACCGCGGCCGCGTCGGTCGCGCCAGACTAGTGGGCCGTTCTGCGCGCGTGCCTGCGCGCGCGCTAGCGAGGCCGTAGCGATGCGACAGCCAACGCCGAGCAGACATCGCGATTGCAGCCACATTGGTTTAGCAGACCAAGTTGCGGGCAGGTGGATGGGATGATTTCGCGAACAACTGAATTGACCACTTCAAGTTCTGCAACGCGAGCTACGCCAAACAGATTGCATCACATGGGTTGCACACTGTAATCTTCACCGCGTAGATTGTGCAACAAATAATGCGCCACGTAGGTTCTTTCTCTCCTTGAAAAGAATACGGATCTACCCCCCCGGTCTCGCGGTTCCCAGCAGGGTCGTGCAATTCCGCAAATCTGCCCCATCACTCATACTCAGACTGAACACATACCATCCCAGGGAGGGCCGCTATCGTCCCCCCTACCCCCACCTTTCAAAAACCGTAGGTTTCAAAAGGATTGCAACATCGAGATTCCCGAGAACATGGCCGCCACCGTGCCTCTGGACACGGCGTGGGCATGTCCTCAGGTACTTTGCTTAATCCTTGGGGCCTCAGTCCTCCGTCCTGGGAAATCTTCGAAGGGCCTGGGCCCCAAGTTCTGAAATCTACTGGGGTTTGTCGCCTGCCCTCTACGTTCCCCCGCGTCTCCCCGCGTGACTTTTTCGGGCCAAGAAGGCCCGAGACGGGCCAAGAGGGCCCGACGAGGCCCCCAAAGACGGTCCAAGAGGGCCCCGGGCCGCCAAACGATCCCTCCAAGACGCTCAACATGGCGCTTTGACGGCCGAAGAGGCTTCCAATGTGCCCTAAGAAGCCTCCAAGAGGCCTCGCAACAGGGCCCCAAGACGCAAACACCATTGAATTGCTGTGGGTTTGTGAAGGTTGTAGGCACCCTCGTCTTTTAAGCTTCCCGGCGCTCCAAGACGGCCCAAGAACCCCAAAGATCGCCCCACAACGGCCCAAGAAGCCTCCAAGAGTGCACCAGAACGGCCCAAGAGTGCCCCAAGACGGCCCAAGAGGCGCCCAAAACGGCCCAGGAGGAACCCAACACGGCCCCAGAAGCGGCCCAAGAAAAGGAACTCGAACCGAAAATCCAAACCTTCCGCAGCAAGGGGCATCAAGGACGCCACCAGCCAGGCCCCCAAGAAGCATAAAGAGCCCCCAGGGGGCCCAAAAGTGGCCCCAAGAGGCCCCAGCACGGCCCCCAAGAGGCCTCAACACTGTATCCAAGATGCCTCCGAAAAGGCCAGGCCCCAAACCAGATCCCAACGACCATCCACTAGGCTCATCGATTGCACCACGGAGGTTGCGCCGCCTGAATTGCACACGTAGGTCACGCATCATAGATTGCAAAGAATGGGCTGCACAAGATAATCTGCACAACATAGGTCGCGCCACCTAGGTAAGTCTACATATATTGCAGCATGTAGACTGCTTCACATAGGTTGCACCACATACAGTGCTAGAGACACACGGCTCGGGGTCCACGCTGGATGCTCGAAACTACCCAGCAGTCGCCGCCAATTCGTAGAGCACCCGCAGTTCCCCAGCCGTCGGCGCACAGCCCAGCGCCAGCAGGTCGATGCCGGCCGCGCTGGTCTTCCTCCTCTCCTCCTCCTACTCCTCCTCGTCGGCGCATCATGATGCTGCGGGTCCTCCGCCGCTTCGTCAACACCATGTCTTCTCGTCCCCCTCCTCCTCCTCCTCCCCCTCTTCCTCCTCCTCCTCCTCTTCTTCCTCCTCCTCCTCCCATTTTTCCACCTAGCGCCTGAAGCGCGTTCCTTTTCCTCCCTCCAGTCACTCTCTCGCCCGTCTTCCTCCTCATCTTGCTGCTCCTCTGTCTATTCCCCCTTCCTCCTCCCTCCTAACTGTTGCTGATCCTCCTTCTGCCAAGAAGCCTCTGCCGACTCAGCCCTTTTCCCCCTGCCCCCACTACTCATCCGAACATCCTCACCAATCCGTCCTTCCTCCTCAATCCTCCTCTCTCCGACTCTCCGCCTCCACTTTCCAGCAATCAGAAGCCAAGATGAAGCCGCGGACTCAACCACATGTCGAATCAGGATATGGCATGAGGGTAAGGCGGCCAGGGAACAGGGAGGACAACTCTCTCATTCGACATTCTTCCTCCCCTTACCTGGCGAGGGTGGCGGACAGAGAGAGAGAGAGAGAGCGATACATAGAGAAAGAGAGAGAGAGAGAGACAAGGCAGAGACCGAGGGAAGGAGAGAGGAGGAGCGGGAGACGAGAGGAGGCTATGCGAGACGATCGCTGGAGCCACGCGTGCCCCGCTGAGTGGGCCCGCTCGAGCCCATCAGGGCTCGAGTGGCCGCGGAGTCCGTGGCCCGAGATCGGGGAAAAGGAGGAAGGGGAGGTCCGGGCTGTGCAAGGAAGCGTGGCGCTGGGCACAAACGCGCACTAACTGGAGGAAGAGGAGGCGGAGGTGGAGAAGGAAGAGGAGGAGGAGGAAGAGGAGGAGGAGGAGGAGGAGGAGGAGGCGGAGGCGGAGGGGAAAGAGGAGGGGGAGAAGAAGGAGGAAGAGGAGGAGGAGGAGGAGGAGGAGGAGGAGGAGGAGGAGGGCGGAGGCGCAGGTGGAAGAGGAGGGGGAGAGAGGGGGAGGAGGAGGAGGAGGAGGAGGAGGAGGAGGAGGAGGACGAGGAGGAGGAGGAGGAGGAGGAGGACGAGGAGGAGGAGGAGGAGGAGGAGGAGGAGGAGGAGGAGGAGGAGGAGGAGGAGGAGGAGGGGGGGAGGGGGAAGAGGAGGGGGGAGAGGAGGCATGAGACGGGTCCTCGTGGGCGCGCTGACGCCTCTCCATCTGCTCCCGCCTCGGTGCACACGTGCGCACACGCCTACCCCGAGATCTGACGTTGCGAAACAGATGCAATATGGGAACATGGAGAAGCGACACCAACACCACCAAGGACCACCAGCGAGACGCGCGATGGGGGTTTCCCCTGGTGGTGTGGTCCCCGCCCGTCGCTCGAGACATCCCCTATCCCCAGCTCGAGGAGGCCTCGCGGACCTTCCCGCTGGAGGTGGCCCCTCTGGTGGTGGTGTCGCTTCTCCTGCCCCCGGCAGCATTGCAAAAAATCGCGATCACAGCCCCGAGCCCCACCTTTCTGCGGCGCCTGTCCAGCCGGACCCAACTATGGATGGTCCTGGGCCTCGAAGCCAGCCGAAAACGCCCACTTGTGAAATAGCAGGGCAGGCCCATAGAGCGGCCGCCGAGACGAACGGCTGAGACGAGCGAGGGTCTGCGGGCGGCTGCGAGAAGCGGGAGGAGCCACCTGGGGCCACGAGGAGGGACGACCAGGGGGGGGGGCTCAGGGACTGGGCCGATCGGAGTCGGCTGAGATGCACACTTCAAACGTCGCAGCGCGGCAGAAGCAGTCCGCACGCGCGCTCGGGCAAGCCGGGTGACGGCATTGCGAATTGTCTGGGGAGCTTAGATGCACAAAGCTCCCGTGCAGTTGTCCTGAGCCGAGGAGCGCGCAACTCGCGCGCGCCAGGCCACCGGGACCAGCGAGCAGCCGACAGAGCCCCGGGGCCTAGCCTGCACGTGCCAGGCTGCGTCAAGAACACGGGGTGAGCCGAGCCGCCCGTGCCGCGACCATCGCAGGGACGCTTTTCCGCCGCGGCGCCGCGCTCGGCCAGGAGCTGGGCACCCTACGGGTACGCGGACCGGAGGCACTCCGACCAGCGGGCGTACCCGCGACCATTCGGGTGCAGCATGTCCGGGAACAGGTCCTTGCTGATGCTGCCACCGGTGGTGAGGAAGCCGTTGCAGTCCAGGGTCCGCACGTCGCGGCCAGAGGCGCTGTGCTCGGACGCCGCTCGGGTGATGATCCCGTTCAGCTCGCCCACGTGCGAGAAGAAGAGGGAGCAGCTCGGGTCCGAGTCCCCCTCCCCGACGCCGTGCACCAGCTGCGGGGGCCTCCCCGCAGCCGGGCACGCGGCCCACTTCAGGGCATGCGGCAGGTGGTCGTTGTCGAAGTACCCGCCCTTGAAGCCGCGCGGCATGACCAGCTGGAGCGTCAGTCGCGCGTCTGGCCGCAGCGCAACGAGCTCGTCAACGAGCTGGCGGTAGGACATGCCCGCCTCTGGGGGGACGGAGAGGTACCGACACCGCTGCTCCCTGGATCTCTCCCGGAGTGCGTTCTGACCAGAATTCCGAAGTGAACCCAGCCGTGACGACGAAGGACACCCACAAGGCCCAGCAAGGCCAAGAAGTGACGAGGGCAGGGTCGCGGCATCGGTACCTCCTCCTCCCCTGAGCCTCTCGCGGCGCAACCCCGTGGCCGAGGTCGTTGGTGCCCACGAGGACGTGCAGGCTCCGTGGCGCGCACTGCCTCACGGCCTCGCCCAGGCCCCCAGCGCGCAGGCGCCAGAGCAGGTCGGGCACCTTGTCCCCGCCGATGGCGGCCACCGCGACGAGCCGCTGGGGCCCGAAGGCGGCCCGCAGGTCTCCGCCGAGCTCTTCCCTCTCCGACGTCGTGTACTCCAGAGGGCTGTCTACGTAGGCGCTGAAGGATGGCCTCCCGAGCGGCGAACGTATCCATATATATATATATATATATATAAATATATATATATATATATATATATCCAGGAGGCCATCCTCCGAGGCGCAAGGTTCCTGGAACCCGCCATATCCACACGCCGCGCTCCAGGAACCTTGCGCCCCAAAAAGCCTGACCAGCCTGCGGTGGCGCCATCTTCCCCTTCCACTGGCCTCCGCCGGTCTTCCGCTCTGGCCTCCGCCGGCGGAGCCGCCGCCCACGCGCCCACGATTTTTCCTGCCGCCGGCCTCCCGCCGAGGAAGAAGTGCCATCACCTTCGGTCCCCGAGCACGACAGCATGTCTGGAGCGCGCCATATCTAGGAAGGCACCAGCTATACACCAACACCGATTCTGGCCAGGATCACCCTAGGCCCAGGATCGGTGTATACGCACTCCTGCCTTGGGCAAGAAGGCATATACACCGATCATGGGGCCAGGGTGATCCTGGGCCGGCATCGGTGTTGGTGTATAGTTGGTGCCCTCCGAATATCTTTTTTTCCTCGCAAAGCAAGCACACACCAGTTTCAGTCCCTGCTCCGACGATTCACTACGCTCTGTTGTATCGAATCCGCTTCCCCTCATGGGGACTATACCACCACCCATGGAAGCGCGCACGGACACGGGCCCGTACAGGTCTGAGTCTCAATCGCAAGAAGCCCGTAAAAAAGCCCTGCGACCTTGAAAGGGTGACCTCGGAGCGATCCCGTGATGGGGCACCCGCAACAAAACGCCACCAATCCACGGGGCCGCGGCCCGGAGGCCTGGCCCACGAGGCCGTGGACACGGATACGTTTTCTGCCCGTGATGGCCGGTGCCACCGCTCGGTGATCGAGTCGCCCAGCAGCAGCACGTCCAGCGGCCTGGACCTGCACAATTCCTTCATCCTATCAATGTCCGCCGCGTTCCGGAGCTCCCACCTAGTCGGCAAGCCAAAACCTGCCGGCACCGCTGCTCCACAGTGCTCTCCTGGGGTGCGCTCTGACCGCGAGGCAAATCCAACGGTGGCGACGCGGGCCTCCCAGCAGGCACAAGAAGGCGAAAACGGCGCAAGCACAGCGGTATCTGGGAGATCTGTCGACCTGGGGGGGCTCGAACGAACCGAACATTTGAGACCCGACTCGGGGATGTACGACTAGCGGGCGTCCATTGGAAAGAGCCCCCTGGAATTTTGCCCCCAAGCTCCCCCCTTGTTTTAACGGGCGAAGAACGGTATAAAATAAACTTGTTCGCCGCCCTGGGGCAGGTGTCCCCGACGGCGAAAATTTTTATCTTATACCGTTCTTCGCCCGCTGATTGTTCTGAGCGGCTTCCTTTTTCGTAGAAGATTCCGATGCTGGGGGCGAGACTTCGCAGGCGATGCTCCTCCTCTGGCCACCTGCGGCGCATGGTCTCGTTCAGCTCCTCCCGCGGCACAGGCAGCGCCGCCTGCAGCGCCGCCGGATCGGGCCCATGCGGCGCCACTTGGAGGGCGCCGGCGAAGAGGAGGCAGGAGGCGAGCGCGGCGAGCCAGGGGGCCTGCGCGCCCATGCGCCCTCGCAGCGCGGCGGCCGCCATCGCAGGCTATGGATTTTTCGGCGAGGGCATTGGATAAGGAACAACTGGCTAGGGAATCCAGGGTCTGGAAGTCGGTGAAAAACCAACCGAGGCGTGGCCATGCGCACCACCGCCGCCCTTGTCAGATCAGGAGTCTTCCAACGGTCTGGAGGAGGAGGAGGAGGAGGAGGAGGAGGAGGAAGAGGAGGAGGAGGAGGAGGAGGTGGAGGAGGAGGAGGAGGTGGAGCCTCGTGGGCACATTCCTGAAGGGACGCCCCCGCCGTGACGGGGAATGAGGTGCTCGAGCCAGGAAGCCTGGGACGGAATGGAAACAGCTGGGATCCGACGTCGCGATGTACTGCTGTTCCCAGCCATCCTGTGGTGTGGGATCCTCGTTTTGAGAAGACAGCGCCCCGCGTCTCCTCCTCCTTCCCATCCTCCCTGCCTTTGCCCTCCGCACCAGCCAGACCTTTTCCACACCCCTCAAACGCTCAGAGGCCCCACAAGGAGCGCACCTTCCATGGCCCAAATAGTGCCGCCCGCAGGCGTCCTCGCCAGTCATTTCGGAACACCCCTCACTCGTTTGGGCGCACCCCTCACACGTCTCGTGGCCACTTGGGGAGCCCCACCCAAGGCTCAAATGGTGCCGTCCGCCTGCGTCCGCGCCATTGATTTCGGCACACCCCTCACACGTTTCGTCGTTTCGTGACCCCATAAAGGGGGCTCCAACCAATGCCTAAATTGTGCCGACAGCGTGCGGCCCCGCCACCCATTGCGGCACACCCCTCACACGTTTCGTGGCCCCATAGCGACCTCACCCAAGGCTCAAATTGTGCCGTCCGCAAGCGTCCCCGACGCTCAGGCTGGCAGACCCCTCACGCGCTTTGTGGCCACATAGGGAGCTTCACCCAAGGCCCACCTGGTTCCGCCCGCACGCGTCGCCGCCACCCATTTCGGCACACCCCTCGCACGCTTCGTGGCCCCATCACTGGTTCCGTTCGCATGCGTGCATGCGTCCCCGACACCTATTTCGGCACGCCCGTCGCACGTGTTGTGGCCCGATACGGAGTTCCACCAAAGGCGCGAAAGGCGCCGTTCACAGGTGTCCCCGCCACCCATTTCGGCAAACCCGTCGCACGTTTCGAAGCCCTATCGGGAGCTTCACCCAAGGCCCCACGAGGTGCCGTCCGCATGCGTCCCCGCCACCCAGTTCGGAACACCCCTCGTACCTTTCGCGGCCACACGAGGAGCTTCACCGAAGGCTTACGTGGCACCCTCCTCACGCGTCCCCGCAACCCATTCTGGCACACCCCTTACACGTTTAGTGCCCCCATGAGGATCTCCACCGAAGGCTCCAGTGGCGACGCGTGCAGGACGCGTGCAGACGGTTCCCCACCCATTTCGGCACACCCCTGACAATGTTCATGGCCCCACAAAGAGCTCCACCCAATGTCCCAGTGCCACCGTTCGCATGCGTCCCCGCCGCCCATCCCCTCACATGTTTCCTGGGCTTCGTGGCCCCACAGGCAGCTCCACCCAAAGCCCCATGAGGAGATCCAGAGATGCCGGTATTCACAACGACGGTACACACAACTCCATGTGGTTGGATCCTTCGCCTGGATAATCTTATTCCCCGAACGCCCTCCCCCCGCACGGGAAGGCGGGCGGGGCACTCGCGATTCACCGCATGCCACCCACACCCAGCCAGGACCGCTGCAAAATCCCGACGCCGCGAAAGAAGACGCAGCACCGTGGTCAATACGGCCGGAGTTGTATTCCGCAGCGTTGCTCGAGGCGGGCCGGTCTGGAAGGGCCCCTGGGCCCGACAGCGTGCGAAGACGCCTCGGGTGGCGAGGCCGCGAGGACGTGTGCACACGTCGATTTGCCATTGGCCCCGCGCCGTTGGCCCACGCGGCCTATCGCGGGACCCTCGAAAACCGTGCCGCTCGCTCCACCAAAGGGGCACCCATCGTTTGAAAGCAGCGGGCAGGAATCTCGAAGCAGGAAGGCGTTGAAAGTAAAGTGGGCTTCCGTTCGCCCCCTGAAGAGGAGGAACACCGCTCGACGATTGAAATATCAAGGCGCCTGAAGTAGCTTGGTACCCAAGGATTAAATCATTCACTGCGTGCAGCTCCCCGTGTGTGCATCTATTTGCACGGACCACTCCGCCGTGAGCGTCTAGGCGCACGAGATTTCGAATATAAGCGGCTTAAGTATTGACAGACGGGAAGTGAATCTAACTGTAAATGGATTCGGGTGTGAATGAATCGCAGGAGTACGTTTGAGTCTACGCGCATGAACCTGAGTATGTCTAAGCTGAGGATGAATTTGCATGCGCGTCAGTGGCCTGAGAATGACCAAGCGTGACTGAATCGAAATGGCTACGCGATCCGTCACTCCATGGTGAAGCAATGAAAAGGGTGCTCATGCAAACGTCGTGCGAAACCCTTGCGCTTCGTTGGCTGGCCCAGAAAATCTCACGCAGTGGCTGGACGGTGGTACAGCCAGCCACGCCACGGGGAGGAGAGGCCCAATTGACAGGCACATGTGTAAAACGCCAAGGACTGGAGCCGCAGGAGAAGGGCAATCGATAGGACCCTACGCAAAACACAAAGCATTCGTGCCCCAGGGGAGGCCCAGTCCGTAGGACCATACGGAAAACACGTAGTACTGAACCACAGGCGAGTTGCAACCTATAGGAACAGACGCATCACACCAAGGGTTCGTGCCCCAGGATATGGAATCTACAAGCACGTACGTAAAAGATGTAGGACTGGAGGCACAGGAGAGGGACACTCTGCAGTAACGTATGTGAACCAAAAATGGTTCGCGACCCAAGCGAGGCCCAGTATATGTGAACATACGTAAAACAACTAGGACTGGAGCCACAGGAGTTTAGGAACATTGAAAGATTTCGGACCCCAGGAGAGGCCCAACCTATAGGAATTTATATAAAAAAGGACGTAGGATCGGAGCAACACCTGTGGCCCCCTGGGGCCTCCTGAACCTTTTGAGGCCTCTTGGGATCTCCTGGTGACTTCTGGGGCTTCCTGGGGCCTCCTGGGTCTTCCTGTGCCGTCCTGAGGCCTCGTGGGGCCTCCTGGGGCCTCGTTGGGCCTCCTGGGGCCTCATGGGGCTTCCTGGTGCCTCCTGTGACTTCCTGGTGCCTCCTGGTGCCTCCTGGGGACTCCTGGGGAGGATTCGTGCCCCAAGAGGCTCCCGATCTGAGGCAACATACATCAAGCAAATCGGATTGGAGCCACAGGACGAGGGGCAATATACGATCTCGGGCTCTGGGCCCACGCCTCCCCCCCCCCCCCAAATGGGCTGGGTCCCAGGGCTCCACGGGCCCCCCGCCCCCCCCTGATGGGATGGGGGGGAAACGACGACGACGACGACGACGACGACGACGACGACGACGACGACGACGACGACGACGGCGACGTCGACGACCACGACGACGACGACGACGACGACGACGGCGACGACGACGACGACGACGACGACGACCACGACCACGACGACAACGACGACGACGTCGACGACGACGACGGCGACGGCGACGACGACGACGACGGCGACGACGACGACAGCGGCTTCGACGACGGCGACGACGACGACGACGACGACGACGACGGCGGCGGCGACGGCGGCAGCGGCGACTTCCAGAGCCCTCCTCCGACGACGGCGGCGGCGGCGAAGACGACGACCTCCGGAACTCTTCTGGAGCACAGCAGTACCACGCAACACAGGCCACACCCACAGCATCACACCACACCCACAGTTGGGGGGGACCGTCGCGCGGGGGGGGGGGAAGCCCGATGGCATCAGCATGAGGGGGGGGGCAGACCCTGGACGACCATACATAAGAGCACGCGTAAAACGCCAATGGTTCGTGCTCCAAGAGGGGATCACTCTTTAGAAGCACACGGCAAACACATAGGATTTGAGCCACAGGAGAGGGGCAATATGTAGGAGCATAATATGCAAAACACCGAGGGTTCGCACCCCATGCGAAGCCCAATCGATAGAAACATACGTAAAAGACATTGGACTGGAGCACCTCATGTGGCCTCCTGGGGCTTGCTAGGGCTTCCGGAGCATCTTGGGGCCTCCTGGGGCCCCCTGGGGACTCCTCTGGCGTCCTGGGGCTTCCTGGAAACTCTTGGGGCCTCCTGGGGCCTCCTGGTGCCACATGGGGCCTCCTGGGGAGGATTCGCGCCCCAGGAAAGGCTCGATCTTTAGGAAGATACAGCGCCTAGGATTAGAGCCACAGGAGAGGTAACAATGAATAGGAACATACGCGAAAACACGAAAGAGTCGTGCCCCAGGGGAGACCCAATACATAAAAAACAACCATACGTAAATCATGTAGTATTGGAGCCGCATGGAAGCGTTAGTCTGTAGGAACACACGAAACACGTACACTATTCGATCTGGACACAAACGAGTCTGGTCACCAAGAAAGGCAAACCGCTTCAGACATTCTCACATTCTGGCCCACCCTGGGCTGCGAAAACCAGCGCCTCGCCGGAGACATCCTAAAAAACTGCTCCGAAAGCGGATGATGCTGGGGCGGTGAAACAAGGGTTCCCCTTTGGGGGTGCTGAAACAGGGCCTCGCCCGAGACATCCTCAACACCTACTCCGTCATCGTCATCATCACCACCACCACCACCATCATCATCATCATCATCAGCATCATCATTATCATCATCATCATCATCATCATCATCATCATCATCATCATCATCATCATCATCATCATCATCATCATCATCATCATCATCATCTCGTCGTCGTCGTCATCATCACTTCCATCGTCATCACCATCGTCATCATCATCCTCCTCGTCATCATCAACACATTCACCATCATCGTCATCATCATCACCACCACCATTACCATCATTATCAGCATCATCATCAACTTCATCGTCGTCAGCATCGCCATAACCATGATCATGTTCCACCATCCACCATCCACCATCCATCACCCATTACGCATCATCATCGTTATCAT